GTGTGTATAAACACACAGGTGTATAAAACTTCAACTGTGTGAAACACACGTGTATAAAAACACATGTGTATAAAAATACAACTGCGTGAAACACACCGGTGTATAAAAATGCAACTGCGTGAAACACACAGTAGTATGAAACTTCAACTGCGTGACATACACAGCAGTATGAAAATTCGGCTGCGTGAAACACACAAACTTCACGCATGCGTGGAGTGTATGGAGTGTACGGGAGTGATTCACGCAATGGTGCGAATAGTCACGGCCATAAATGAAATGGAAAAATATAGTACATACAAGTACTATCCATGCTGAATCCTTGCTCATGAAAATTTTTTCCGTACCTTCATTTCCGACGCTGCACGATTTTTCCCGCACCTCTTACGTCTAGGGGTGCGGGGCACAAATGAAAATGAATGTAGTACATTCAGGTACTCACTGAGTACAATCGATACTATAAGAAAGACAATCGATTTATCAAACTTCGACTCCAAGTTCACACAGCTTGATGCGAGAGCATTCCCTTGGAGAGTGCTATTTTTCCGTGCTATTTTAATCCCACAACACCTAACAGTTTAAATTGACGTCAATTATCTAAGTTACATTTGTACAGTGTGTACGCAGCACGCAGTATAAGCGGTCAGTGGGCGGATAAATTAAATAAATTCATTCGTCAGTCATTGAGAAGTGAATTGAATACAGAGAAAAAGAAAGGAATGAAACCGGTGGAGTGCGGTACGAGAGTGGTGGGATAAAAAGAGCATTAGTCAGTCCACTGTGTTCTCCACTCGATGACAATTACATGAGTCAGTTGGTTGTCAGCCGATTCCCGGATAAATTTTAATTTTATGAATTACGCGATTGCATGGCGCAAACGCATGTTTAATTCTTCTACCGTCGTACGAGTTGTACTTTGGAATGATCCCGTTGCAAAATATTCCCAATTGACATTCTAGGCTTCATCGAATTGGAATGCAACTCGTACGAGAAAAAAAAAGTGCATTGAAACCTGTGGCTAATTCCATTTTCCACATTTTTACAAACAAAATATTTGAGACATTCAGTAGCCGAATTGATTGAACGGTCGGCTTGGAATTCAGGGATGCCGTCATCATTGCTTTTAAACTGGGTGGCCTTTAACAAATCAACGGCTAAATGTGCACAACACCTCGGCCACGTATAACACAGTTTACGCATCTGATGACGTAATGCTGTGTTGTTGTTCCCTTTACCGCGAAATCTTCTCGGGCAAGAAAATAAAAAATGTGCAAAAAACCACGACTTTCGACCCTCCTGGCGCGATCAATACAGAAATGTTCATGCAAATGTACGTGATAGAACATGCAAAAGAAAAACACCCTCGCCATATGCTCCCTCTAAATTTAATTACCCCATTGAGTTGTGCTGTCATAAATGCGCACGTGCAGGTGAAAAGGCATTGGATGAACGATTTAGAACGGTGGAAAATAAAAAGTAAAGAAAGGAAGTGCAGTTGGATGATTCGGAGAGAGGGCCGTTGGGGCCAGGCTAAGTGCTATACCCCCAAGTTCATTGTTACAATAGTCACGATGTTGTAAGCAACCTTCCTCTCCTTTCTCTCGTCTTCCAACGCTCATGCATGAGGATATATCGTACTGCCTTTGTTAGACAACTGGGGCTGCACTTGTTTTTCTACACTGCCGTTAATTTGCATGGGGTATTAAAGAATGGAGAACAATTGGGTTAGACGGGGCTCATCAAAGCCGCAGGGGTCACAGTACCTATCGTGTCGTGGCACCAGGCAAGTCGTGACGAAGTGCTCGATAAGCCGATTATCGAACCCTACCATTCATTGAGGAAACCTTTCTGCTGGCAAATAGTCGCGACGTCTCGTATTATTTTCACATCAGCAAAATCTTCTACCGTGGAAAGAATGTCGGGAATATATTCGTTTTCATTCTTGCTCGGACAATGCAATGAGAATTCAAGTGAGAATTCAGGCGATGCCTCGCGCCCACGAGCACTGTAAAATTCTGTGCGTGTTCCATCTCTCAACCGCAATAAGAGCATAAATAAAAACACGCTAGGTATTTCCGTCCAGAAGAATAATCATCAGCCAGTGGCGGAGAAAGAAACAGGACGAAATGTCATTATGACTGGATATTGATGAAAGGGAAGGCCCATTTAATTTGGATATGCCATCATTTATCAATTTTTTATGGATCTACTGGAGGTAATGACACGGATGACAGCAGTCGTGACCTAATGTTCTTTATGGCATTGAATGAAATCAGTTTTGACGAATTACGGAGCGAGAAAGGGGGTGTAAATTCGTCGTTCATTTCGTACTACGAATCCCAGACAAGTGGTTTTAATTGGGGTCATTGGGCAATTGTTGGGATTGTCTGTCATGACTGCAGGGGTCAACTTGTTACCAACGATTTTTCTGAAATTTCTGGGTAAACGTTATCAGGCAATAGCCATCATGTACGTGAATGTGTCATCACGAATGTCAGAAAATTGTGAAGATTTCGCAGATAAGAATGTGTAAGGCAGGGTAATAGATATATAAAAGACTGATAAGTGTGAAGAACTCATACGAATTCGAAGGCATTACAAGTACGTTATGGGTGTTGCCTGGCTAGAAATGTGAAGGCCAACATCGCCTATGATCATCGTGTCATGAATGTTAATTTTTTTTTTAATCAAAATGAATCTGAGACTTTGAGACAAAACTGTTCAGGTAAAGAAAACAGAGAGGGATCTTTTATTTGCACCTGTCGCGATGTCCCCATCAATCACTGTTATCTACTTTGCAACAATAAGGTTATTTACCTGAACGGTACCAACTACAACGTCAATATCGCACGTGCAACAGGCAACGAATGTAAATAATGGACTTTACAAAACATAACTCATGCAGTCGCGGATTTTCTCGCAGTCTGACATATATTCGGGCCCAATAACAGTATCCCCAACGTCATCACAAAATTTAGCTGATGCAGACGTCAATCCGCTTATCGATTACCGAATTCATGCCGTCAAATCTCAGACGAATCACGTTAACTCAACGTAATAAGTAGAACCTCCCGAAATTAGTGGAATGGAGCCGTCATTGACGTACACTTGACGCGTGCCTTATCTCAACCACACGCGACACAAAAATCAAACACATGTATCACGCCTCCATCGATTTTTAACTCCTTTCTGATGAGAATTTACAAAAAAAAACAATATTTTACAACTTGGAGTTTTGTACGAAGAAAGCACCTGCATCTCGCGGGATAATAATTCCAACAATGAGTAGAGATTTATCTCAATAACAGGAGAAACTGTGAGAAATGTTAACTTTCACCTTTAAATAATCTTGCAAATACTGGATGGATGAATTTACGCATGAAATTAATTCGCCGTTTGACAATTAATTGAAAAAATCGAAGGAGTGTGACGAGTGTCCCGTTAAGTGTGAATGGAGACAAGCCCTTTTGAAAAAAGAAGGCATGATGCTACTCACCTCAAATGTTCGTGATACGTTGTATTCTCCGATAATATATGTATCCAGTTTGGTAAGATGAACTCAACAAATACACCTATTTAACGATAATCGATGCATAGGAAATAATGAATCTACTAATTATCCACTGACTGTTTTTCACCACCGGGAAACTGGGCAGGGCAGACTGCCATCGAGCGCATAAACAACTTACGTTCCAATTCTACCGTCAGTCTACGAACACAAAACAGGTTCGCCGGATCGCGGTACGACGCTCATGATGACCACATCCCATACTCGGTCTTGTCGGCGCAAGTAGTTCCAACGCCGATTCAAACATTCATTAGTTTCGAGGGGCCGGGGAATTTTTTGAACGATTAGAAAAATTGCGTAATGCACGCGGAGTATGAAATAAAAGCACAGGGGGACGCATCTCCACTTGCTCGAAAGAACGCAATGAAATTCGAATCCTCATTTCAAACACTGAAATGCCGTAGTACGAGGCTCTACTTTTCAGTGTTACTGCGCGAGAATTAAAATGGCGGCAGGAGTATAGTGTAGTAATGTTGTTTCCAGTGGGGGAAAAACGGAGTTTCTCTTGTGACGCAATAACGAACGGGCGGCACGCCCCGGGTTTACTGGATTTTTACCGCCAGGTGACACTGACATATCGGGGAAGCATAAAAAGTCACTTTATCTGCTGCGAATAACCCTTTCGAGTGCGATTCATGAATGCAAGATGTCGGTTTCGGCGCATTCTCGGTCCAACTTCCGCATTTTTCTTGTTATTTTTCTTAGTTTGAAAATTCTAAATAATGATAGATGGGTATTGATGACTGCTGTCAGGTGAGCCTGAACGAAATGCGGGAGAATTATTTGGGAGTGGTTGGGCCCGTGTATTCACGGGCACACGTCATTTCGCTTGCGAATCTGAGGTTAAGGTTTGTGTCACCTGAAACGATGCGAAAAGTTTTTTATTGTCAATTGCATTCGAAATTTGGCAAATGAGTCCGGTAGTTTCGATGGCCTAACTGTATATGCTACGTGTCATTCGTTATGCAATGATCAAATACCATCTGCTGACATCAGCCGCGTTGTGTTTGATAAGACGTGTCAGTCTGCTCCGAATTATCAACCATAGAGGTTAGTCACGTACACTGCACTCGTCAGTACTTTATTCACTTCTGGTGCTCCTGGTAAATAGTTCTTCCCTTTTTTTTCTATTTATATTTTTGCATAATATTTATCGGTTGAGGTAATGCACTAGCTCCTTTTTTAAAAAATTATGTTCTGCTTTTTTCCTGAAAGTCCTGGTTCAGTTCCTACGTATGAGGGGGAAATTTTGAATGAAGAATTTTTGATAATTGCATCCCTTTGAAGCCCTAATTTACTCCCATGAAAAGGCTATTTTTGTAGATATAATAATCTCTAATTTTCGACACATATGTCACATATGAGACATTTTAGGCCAACTGTGCTTTCCTAAGTTTCTTGAGTCTTATAAACCTCAATTTAGTCGAGTACTTTATGAATGAAAATTTTTGTAAATTTTCATCGCTTCACCATCATTTTATTTCTAATTTTTCCTCCCGAATATTTTTTCATTTTTTGTCGCAAAAACCTTTGAATAAAAATACTTTAGTACAGCGGGGGCGGTTGATAAACAATTTTTAGATCTTTTCCTTTTTTAAATTTCGCTTTTTCCTCAGAAAATCATCAAAATACACGATTAATTCTGATGATGATTGCTGAGTTGGCATGGAATGCCCCATTAATATCGCATCATTAGTTCGAATGTATATTTTATCTTTGGGCTATCCCAGAAAGTAAAATCCATCGCTCTGGTGCATACAATGCACACTAATGTCAAGGTTAACTCTAAAGTACAATAACAAATTTTTCGCTAGCGTATGCTTGATAATCTGAGCGCAATATCGTTAGTTCAATTCGAGAAAGATATAACACCAAGCCTAGAAGATATGGCGAGTAAATGGAATGTACTGGTGACGGGCGGTGCTGGTTACATTGGTTCTCACACAGTACTGGATCTCCTAAAAGAAAATTTTGAGGTGGTGGTTATTGATAATCTCGTTAATGCATACAAAGGTAAACACCATGACTCAAGCGATTGCACAGCGTTTATTGGTCGGATCTTTATATTATTCTTGATTCGCAATGTTCATGCTCGCAGGAGATAAAGCGGATAAACCGGAATGTATTTTACGGGTTGAAAAACTCGCCAAGAAGAATATAATCTTTGAAGAGTGTGATATTACTGATAAACCAGCTCTAGAGGGTATTTTTAAAAGAGTGAGTACCATCCGGTATTTGCAAGTTAAAATCATGGAGCGAATGGATATTATAATTGTTCTTTCTTCAGCATAAATTCCAATGTGTCATTCACTTCGCGGCGTTGAAAGCCGTTGGAGAGTCATGCGAAAAACCACTGGAATATTACAAAACCAATGTTGGAGGGACGATCAATTTGTTGGAAGTGATGAGAGATCATGGGGTTAAAAATTTCATCTACTCGAGCAGTGCAACTGTTTATGGGGTGCCAAAGAAACTTCCATTGACTGAAGACATGGAGACTGGACACTGCACCAATCCCTATGGCAAGACCAAGTTTATGGTTGAAGAGATTCTGAAGGATCTGTGCCAATCCGATAAAGTACGTTTTTCATTATTGACTCGATATTTTACTTCATTTTTTTTTTAAATGTATTGTAACATCTGATAGATTAGTACTGCATTTTTACATTTCTCCAAAAAACTAAAGATGCATTTTCCGGAATTATTTGGACACTGTAACATTTTTTAAAATCTTAGTGATTCTTTGAATTTTAAACGATATAAAATAAATTTTGTCCTCAATGGAAAGGAAAATTCTTTTCCGTCGTGATGACCCTGAACTGAGCTCAATTGATAAATATATTCCTGATTTATGAACATTGAAGAAGAAGTCAATGGTCCCTTTTGCCCCACCCTCTTTTTAAAAAAAGTCGATTTTCTATTTTCCTTCATATTGATGACTGTACGGGATGTCTCGCTATTTTCTACAGAGCTGGTCAGTCATATCATTGAGATATTTCAATCCTGTTGGCGCTCACCCGTCCGGGGAAATAGGTGAGGACCCTAATGGAATCCCAAATAACCTGATGCCGTTCATCGCTCAAGTGGCCGTTGGCAAACGCGAGATGCTGACAGTTTACGGCAACGATTATGACACGCCGGATGGAACTGGTGAGTTTTATCATTTTGAAAGGTCTTCCGGCAACACGGGAAGCAAAATAGATTACGTAAAATCGGTGACTTTCCCTTTTCTACCAAAATGACCAACGGTTTCATTTTATTAGGCGTTAGAGATTATATCCACATTATGGATCTGGCGAATGGTCACGTGAAAGCTATCATTAATCAAAGTACGAGTGATTCCAAAGGTTTCAAAGCCGTCAACTTGGGGACTGGCAAGGGTTTTTCAGTTTTAGAAATGATCAGTGCATTCGAGAAAGCCTCGGGCAAAAAAATACCATTCAAGATTGCTGAACGCAGAGCTGGAGACATTGCATCTAGCTATGCGGATGCATCGATAGCCAATAAAGAGTTCAAATGGTTTGCCACAAAAAATATCGATGACATGTGTAAGTATTTTTAGCAGCGATTTCTTCAATTAGAAAGAATTGATTCTTGTTTCGTGTCACATTGTGTACGGATGACGTTCTCTTTTGATAGGTGCTGATACGTGGAATTGGCAGCAACGTAATCCACAGGGTTTTAAATCGGCGTGAAGTGTGTCTATTCTTCAGTGAGGAAGGGAGAGCATTTTACTAGAGAAAATTATGAAATTTTAGCTAAATGGATCACTCGAGGCGGGGCCTCTAATCTATATAGATCAATTCAATGAATCGACGTGTATTTGAATAAACTCATAGCATGCGTGTGTGTATAATGATAAATGTGGGTGAAAGACATTTGGATATTTGTACAGCCTGAGGAAATTTACGTTTCCATGAATTTTTCTGCCTCAATAAAGTTCAATCTAGAAATATATTATGAGAGAAAGTATCATAAATGAATCCTAACGCTGCTTTTGAGGAACTATCTGAGTGCTGTTTTACACTGATATCATTGAGAAGTCGATATCCGTTCTAAACTTGAAATGATTGGACTTAATGCAGCCAGATAGCAGTCGGGATGTGGGGGATGAACGCTGCAGACGATGGCACTAGACTCGTCATGGCAGATAGAAGCGATTAATCGCCCAATGCGCAATACTATTGACCTCAATTGCACGATAAGTTGTGTAATTCTGTGGCTGCATTGGTGGATGGCCCTATCCATTCTTAGCAGCCACGACCACGCATCAGTTTCACACACTCTTTGACATTCTTCCTATTTGATTGCATACATTATCCCATCGCGAGTCTTCCTTCACAGTCGTAACGTCTGATAATTTATCGGGAGATAATTTTTTTGGAACAACTTATGCACGGCTGGCAACTTCCACAAACCTGTGAGACGTAGAATCGCGTGAATTATCTTTTTCTTCCGATACTGCTTCGAGTGTTCATTATCATGCAGTGATGCTGAGTAATTTTCACATCGTCTGTCACTATACCTCGCGGGTACAGGTATCATTAGGAAAGAATATTTAGAGAACAAACCAGAAAGATGATCATTAATATCACGCCTGTCTAAGAAATGCAGTGGTACAATGCATATACTCGACGTTTACGTGACCAACATCACGAATTCCGAGACGATTAGACATGCAAATCACTGGAAGATTCTAGAATGGATGGAGAAATGCGAAATATATGATGGCTGCAGAGCTGGAGTTGTAAAATCAATGTCATCAGGTTCAACTGGACCAAGTTTTTTTTTTCGAGTTCCGGACAGACTTGTATAAAGTGACCTTCCACGAGTGAATCGTGGAATTTTTATTTCAGTTCGGCATATTAAATCCACAGCCATCATTTTGCCTTCCTTCGCGTATTACTCGATGAGTTTGCCTTGGGAGTTGAGAGTATAAAGAGCAATATAGAGCAACTTTTATTAACTTGATAACGTTATATGCTGTATGCTAACATTTTTACAATTCCCGAGCTACGAGGGAGGCATGAGCATAGTAGTCGTGTTGCTGCTCACAGGCTGCGATGAACAAGAAGACAGTTAACTAAATCGCGTGTTCATACCGTTGTCAGGGCAAACCATTGTACGGTCCATGTGGACTAGCGTTATTGTGATCTAAACTGCCACATTAACTTGTCTATATCTTAACCGGTCTCAAAGTACCGTCCCGTGTGCAGCTGGATGATCAATTTGCAATTGAAGCATTTTTTTTGCAGTTTTTTTCCTCTTTTCAATCAGCCATTGACAATTACACTTTACGATACTTTTCCATAGTTCAATCAACACGGTGTCCTTGAAGTGTCTGGAAACCGCTCTTCTAAATTATTATCGTCAATGTTCTTTTCGCAGGCTTTATGAACGTTTTATGGGTATTGACAGGCGGAAAAGATGAAATTTGGGATAATATCGTGTTTCCTCATTGTGTATTGTTGTTGGAAGAGGGTAACTGACTCTTGGATGGCTTCAGGAAGATATTTGTTCACATACAGGGTAGACTGACCTGGCCACCTACGCCTATCATGTATTATAGCAAAGCCCACCTACCTCCTTCAAAACCTTTTTCTCCCTCTATCTCTGTCTTTAGTACCGTCTGACTTGAGAAAAGAAAGGCCTCGTCCCGCTCCTACACTGAGGCTCCCTTCCTCGTTGATTCGCTTGTACGGTTCGAGAGTTGCCCCTACCCAACCAGTGTCCAGTTATGTTGCTGTGGCGAACGCCGCTGGCAAAGCCTTCGTTCCTGCACGGTATGTACCCGGGCAACGACGCAGGCGTCTTCAAGACATTTTCATTCTAAACTTAAAATCAACCCAGTGCACATGCTTTATTTTTTTTTTAAATGTTTACGTTGTTGACGGAAGAGTAAAAATTCAAGTGAAATACAGTGGGTGAAAATTATTGGTTTTACACTCACTCTGTGAATAATTCAGTAATATACACGCGCTTAGGGAGATATTTTCTCATTTCTACTTTCATTCAATGACTCCTTGGAATGTCGAAGAGAACTGTTTACATCGGTAATAATTCTCGCTGGAATTTGAAATCAAGTGAAAATTGTGGTACAGTTGTTGTAAAATTGCAACGGGCGTTTGCAGAATGATATTTCACGGTGAGTAAAATTGAATGGATGTTTTGAGAGCTGTTGTATGTAGCTGATGTATAAGTTTATATCTTTGGGAGAATAGAACACCTGCCATATTGAATTAATTCGATTGTTTCCTCTTTTTTCGTGATTGATTAGAGATTAGAGTAATTCAGTGAGTATTTACTGATTGTTTTGTCTAGTTTCATTGGAATTGTAGGGTGCCATTTCCAGTAAATTTTCGGTTGGTCACGGTCTGGCTCTTCCTGGGGTTCCCACTGAAGCGAGTTTTTAACAGGTGGAAGTCACGAACACAAACCTCCTCCGGTTGCTGGTAGAAACGATCGCAGCGACGTTCCACCTGAGGAATGCGCGTATAGTAGTTATACCTATATGGGAGAGGTGTACGTATGTGAGAGGTACTTAACTATTTTGCCCTCTTCTGGGGTGGGATTCGGTTTAGTTGTTTCTGGAACACAGTTTATGCTGTGAATTATTTTCCCAATGGAGTTCTATTAAATATACAAGCGTGTGAATGGTGAATTATACAATCACTGTTATTTCTCAGTTATTATTTTTCATTATTTCATAGGTGTTGAGACACGTTTTTCCCATAATTTATTTGCAATTGAATGGTGGGTTATTCGCTGTGAACGTATTACCCACAAAAATGATTAATTTCACTGCTGTTGACGTGGAGTATCCGGCGATTTCTCATTAGGGCAACGTATACAGGAATAATAAGCCGAAATAGCGTAAAGAGGAGCTCGCGGGGGAATACAGTGTCACGTAATTGATACTGACGAGAGGCGTCGATCGCTACTTTTGGCAGGTTCATCACAATTGACAGTTCAATCCAATTAGGAGTATTCTCCCCGATAAAAAGAATTGCAGGTCATCGGTCTTTAATCTCCCTCCAGAGGGTGAGATTGACATTGAAATTCATTATCAACGCTGATGATTTTCAATTCTTAAATTGAACCTTTATCCATTTTATGTAGCCTTTTGTAATCTCCAACTCATAGATTGTTTTCCGTTTCCGGTATGTCCGGTACTTCGTCTATACAAATACCAATGAATGTCGTATATTTGTTTTTGTTTTTATTTAAATTTCTGTTCTACGAACAGTTGGGTATGAATGTGACACTCTGGGTTGCCATAAATGCAATTTATCCGGTGGTGAATCGAACACTGTGAACGAGGCTGTTTAATCGTAAAGCGCAGTAATCGTAGCATAGGTATGCTCGTCATGTCATTCCTCTCTACCGTTATTTTTTACACCGTCGTATGGGTTCCTCGTAGAAGAGCCTCGGGCAGGGAGAGTTCGTTCTTTTGCGAATGGTAAATACCCGGACGCCGTGGTAATGAGGTATTTGAAGAACGTTGACGCTCAATGGGTGATGGAGAAGCGTGGAAATGTCGATGAAAATTGGGAGAAAATGGGTGATTAACGGGGCTAATGGTCGAAAACAAATTAGCCATTGCCATTGCCATCTTGAGGAATCATGCTCGCCCTCTCAATCGGTAGGGGAAATTAATTTTTATTATGCTGAGAATGGAAAAACGTAGAACGACGTTGTGATCGTTGGGAATATTTTTATGATTTCCAGCAGTATTGAACGTGTTCTTTTGGTCAACACAAACTTGCACGAATATCTTGGGCTTACGTTAGTCTCGACATTCTGTTAATATTAAAAAAAAGCATTCGAAAAATTCAACTCCTCCATATCTTCATTAACCGGATCCCCGGGAACAGGTTTATTTATTTTTAAAATTGAAAAAATCCTCCCGGCGCGAGGTGAGTAGAACAGCGAGTAGAAAAAAATATATAAACCTCTTTGATTCGTTTTTTTCCATTTCAATACCATTTATTTGATATTTAATGAATAGCTGAGGAACTCATATGCTCGACCGAAAGCTCTGGCATTGACTTTCTTTTGCGTTCACGTTCCAATTCCGATTCAATGTTTCTCAAGGTGGAGGCGGAATTTCAGGAAACGTAAGAGAGCCCCTCGTTACTGCATATAGAAAGAATTTTTAAACACGCGCGCGACGTAATTATCTTCATGAAATTCTTAATCTGCGATATTGCAAGCGAAACTCCTTGGGCATGAACTTGGCACAATCATAATGCGCTGGTTGACGCAGAAGCTGAATATACGGTTGGGGAGTAAACACGGACGAGGTCATGCAGTGAACGTATGTAGATGTTCCTTCTTTTGGGTACCTGACTGGTGAACTTTATCAAATTCTTCTGTCAAGGCTATTCTCTGAATGTTCCAGTGTCTCAGGGATAATAAAACACACGGTGAATATTATTTTATGCTCTTTCCATTGGTATGCATGAAAAAAATTCGGGTAAACATATCACTCATCTCCAATAAAAATGTTAATCACTAAAAATAATGGCTTTATCTCCACATCACTGAATGTAAAATGAAATAAAAATTAAAATATTCATCGTAAACTATTAATTACAAGCGGGGATTTATCGTCATCGACTTTGAATGAAATGTTCATTAATCTTGCTGCTACTTCCTCTTTACGTTTGCAACTATGAATGGATAATATTCAATGCGTATGCAAATAAAATGAAACACCGAGAAAACGTGACCAAAGACTGCTGTGTTATAGCTTCGTATTATTACGTCACGATAAATAACCTTCCCTTAATGCACAATATCCTGACCAGAGTTCGATAGCCATTAACAATAATCTCGTAATTCCATTTCAGCATGGCGCCAACACTGCAATTTTCATAAAGAAAATGTGTTTTTTTTATCACTGACCGCGGGTTTTTTAGCGTAAAAACTCACCGGTGCAAATGGGAACGATTTTGAGTCGACATTTATCGGTGACTTGCTCACGGCAACCGGTTTTATCTAATCATTTTGGCATCAAAAATTTGTCATCCGCGGCTGTAAATAAGTTTAATTGAATCTTTCCGATGTTTAATGATTTTTTTTTCTCTCGTCTACGGTGTTATCTTGAGACTTCCATGGGAATTCATTCGCACTTTATTGAGGACAACAAGATCTGCAGGATGTCGCAGTCTGTCCAGGAGGAAAACGTAATTTATATCACCTCATAAAGTATTCATGTTATTATTAGGAAAATGTATTTCGAATGGATGTCAAGATTGTCAAGATTATTCCAATCAGGCAATTTGGCACGCGTTGGGGAGTGAATGAGAAAGCCGGAAAAGTACGCAACATGTGACAATTCCGAGTTTTACCAATTTACTTCATTGCCGTCTAGGGTCAATTTGATTAGGTGAAGTTCAATGGGACGAGACTCCTCAGTCTTCCCTTCTCCCTTTTGTGTTTTCATTCATACTCTGAACGTCACCGGCCAATTTCACGTTCATCACTGAAAAATATTGTTGCTCCTCGGTGCGCGGAAGTCAACAGGCGTCAAAGTTTACATGCAAAAACTATTGGGGTCACGAGGTGATCGAGAGACGTGTCGTGAAAAGCACTTTTCCCCTGTTACGCACGATAAGACCGTTATGTTATCAGCGATATCTTGAGAGCTCGCAAGAAACTATTCGCCATTGGCTCTGGCAACTATTTTTGCGCTCGCGTATGTGAGTCGATGGGGTTTAAGCGATGAATCACTGTGATTTCAAGCTTTCCGAAGATATAAACACCCGTACTTGTGGGTGTTTATATCGATCAGTTTCGCAAAATTCATTAACCGTTAGCCCCACTTCCGGCAAGATTGGAAAATAATCGATTAGTCGGTCTATTCCTTGTTGTCTCTCTCACCTCTTCTGAGAAGTATATTAATATCGTTAATAATTGCAACAATACATATTCCAAGAGGATTATCATTGTTGCCAGAACGTGACGATGCCCTCGTGCTCAGGGATCAATGTATTCATTTAATTCTCTGAATCTTCTCGTTAGAACGTGCATTGTCACTAGTCTGAGGAGTTTGTTCATTAGCACGGATCGACATTCAGAGACGACGTTCATTGATAATTTTCACGGCGCTGATAGAAAAGGTGGAAGGATGTATTCGTCAACTATTAACTAATCATGTTTATAGTTGAAAAGCCTCGCCAAGTGTGGGCATCAGGCATTTAAATTCGCTTGAAAACCTCTGGCTACTTTAAAACATTCTTTCCAACATCTCCGCTTGGTGTTTGTGTATTTTTCTTTCAACTTGTGGTGAACGTGAGTGGCAATAAAAACTTCTTCAAGCAAATGGAAACATTGACTTTTCCGAAAGCATGTTATCACGTAATTTACATGGATTTTGTCGAAACATAATATTCACAAGTCATTCATTCCAAAAAATCCAACAATAGTACCTTTTCACTGGGCATCAATGGTTCCGGCCAATTGATTCGAGAAATTGTGAATACCCGAGGATTCTCAACATCTCCGTTCGGTTTTTGTGTATTTTTCTTCTCACTTGGAGTGAGCAGGCATCAGTGATCATAAAAATTTCTTCTCACTCGAACAAAACCATTGCGTTCACCAAAAACAAGTTATTACGTAATTTACCGGAATTTTGTCGAACCATAACATTGATAACTCATCCGTACCGGAGAATTCCTCAATTATCTTTGCCATTAGTTGTGCGAAAATTAATTACTTCGTGTCTTGTAAAGAAAATGAGAGAGCGATTATGCATTACTACCGAGTAATTTCAAAGTTATTCCCCGCGAGAAAGATACAGCAATTTTCCTTAATCACATGAGGTGCACAGGTATACAGGTGGCGACGCTAAGTGTCCCCCAACAATGAGCCTATCTGCAGCAGACATGGAGTTGGGTGATGTTCAATGATTTTTTATTTACACGTTAAGAATGCCTAGCAGTTATGCCTGTACGCATTGACAATAGCAGGTCCTACCGCTGCCTTTCCGCCGATGAATTACTTCAACTTTACTTTGGTCCAAGCCCACGGTGGAAATAGGCTCAAGTCCATCTCTCTCTCTCTCTCTCTCTCTCCCTCTCGCTCTTTCAATACATTTTCTCGGTCACGCCGCGTCGCACAGCATTCGAGTGGTTTGTTGCC